ACCCATATCTTAATCAATGTAATATTATATCCATTTTGTTTCACTTGTGATTGGAATGCAAAATATTACGTAAGTACTATTTTGTTGTATATTATATTTTATAAGTAAATAATAAGGCCGTGTGGTCCTAGCATAGAATAGGCCATCCCTACCTTTCCCTTAGGTGTCGTGGGAGGGCGAGAGATGGGCAGGAATGTCCCCCTTAAAACATCTCTAAAGCCTAACTGCGGTTGCCAATCCGTTAGCCAAACGTGGCAAAACCCTTAGGGGAAGGCTTATGTTCAGCAGTGGACAGTTAAAGGCTGATATGATGATGATAATATAAGTAAAATTCCACAATACTCCAAAAAAAAACCGGATAAGTACTTGTTCGGATTATTTATAAAAAAAAGTGTCCTTACTCGTCATTCTAACGCCCTCTAACGTATGCATAAATGACTGAAAGGTAAAATCCAACCGAAGAACCTTCTTTCACATACTACTTACTTGCTTACAGTAAAATGAAGAGATGTCGCTATAATCGACTTAAATTTTGGTGTGATAGGTATTCAATATTATATTTTACATATACAATATTCAATTTTATAACACAGATATACGAGTATTGTGTTAGATTTATTCTACACTGAGATTCAATATTATCATAACCGCTGCCCTCAATCGCTTTTTGTTTTCACCTAATGGTTAACTGGTAGAAAATACCATACAGCATTAAGCTCGCCAATTGCACAAATTTTATTGTACAATAAAGAATAAATATTCCTTTTTTACGTTATGTAATATAATTAATAATAACTGTTAACTTTTTTTACTATTAACCTTTAACAAATCTTAACATAAGTTCAAATGGAAATTTAAAATGGAAAATAAAATGAGACTAATGTTTACTACTAATGTTTCATATTTCTGTTAAATTACAAACAATTATTGTATTGAAGTTAATATATTGCATAAATGTGTATGTATACTCGTATATAGAATTTTAAATACGTACGTGAAATAAAAATAATGTATATATATATATATATATATATATATTATTTAGTAGAAAATTTTCAACATCAAAAGGATTGACAATCCAGCAGTGCCATTCTGTAAAATGCAAACTCGATATCGAATCTCACTCAGGTGACCGTTCTCACTTCGATAGCGAAATCACTTGACCTTGGATTGGCATTCTGTTTACACTTGAAGTGCAGAGGTGATGTGAAGTGAGTTTCGAAATGAATTATCGAGAACTAGAGACGTGCTCGGTGCGCCATGTTTAATCTATATAATCGATTTAAAGTATTTCCTTTGTTTTTTTAGAAATTATATACTAATGAGTGTATTATTGGCTTTACTTATGTTTGAGATTATTTAGTCTATTTAATTATACAAATTAAGTGATAGCTATACCAATTTAAAACAATTTATAATTTCTTGTCAGTATAGCCAACATTCCTTTGCGTCCATGTAAAAAATTTATTTTGTTTGGTAAACTTTGTGTTGTGATTCCAAGAACAAGAACTTTAAGTGGAGAGGACTAAGTGGTTTTACGATCTTGCGATACACATGGGTACCTATTGAACACAAAAAATTAACATGTTGAGTATCAGTAAGTTTAGTGCATTCAACATTTGTGTTTCGAAAGAAGTGGAAGCAAAAATGAAGTGAGTATACACACAATTTAATGTATTTTTATATTTACAGAAAATGTTGTATATCTAAGTGAATGAGCCGATGATCTATCTTATTGATGTGAGTAGCAACCATCACACAATGTACTGTGATGTCCATGTTACTCCTCTTACATTGTTATTTCTAAGCCCATTATTGTTATGCTTTGTTTTACCCTATACCTTTAATTACACTGCAATCACAGTTATTTTGGCGGTAGGAAGACTTGTAAAACATAGATAGGTGTCCATGCAAATGACTTAGACGATATCTCCCTGTAGTAAAGTAATTATTTACTTTGCTGTCAATACTAATGTTAATTTTTAAATTTTCTGGTAATTATGTAATGTTTTTTTATAATGGACCGTATAACTAACCCGACTGTTGGACTATCAAAGTCATTACAGAATCATTGCGAGACTATTATTTAAATTTTTGAAACTAGTCTATAATGCTAAAAAATATCTTATATAGATTACAAATAGTCTTGTGAAATCATTCTTATATTTTTGTTCTATATTTATATTAAATGAAATGTGCATATATGATAATTTATATATTGTAGCATAAAAATTCCCTATGTTGTAAGTTCGGCAGTAAGAATTTCATAATTACTATTCTTTTACAGCTCCACGCCGTAGGCGGCGATTGATACCTGCGTCTCCACCTTCTCAAAGGCGGTCACAGCTTACCAGCCTCACTGATCGCTTCCTGAGAGTGGAGGAGCAGCGGTTAGAAATAGATAGCAGAAGTGTAGCTGTATCAGAAAATATGGCTAGACTAATGAGGGAATTCTTGCAGCGAGACCAAGATAGGAGTCATGAGGTTAGCCAGGGATTGCTGGCTGTAGGGGAGGGATTAAAATTGTTAGCCGAAGCATTAAAAAAATAAAATGTTGAGAAAAACAAGGTCTTTTATTTTTATTGTTTTGTGACAAAATGTTTGTTATAGTAAATATTTACTCCCTACGAGAACGCCATAACTGATTAACTAGCATATCTCTGCTTGATTGACCCATTGCCAACTCGCTCTGAGAGTGGGTCAATGGCAACTGATGACCCGCTGAGACGCGTGCAGTTGCACGAAAATTTGCTTCTTCCTCCTCATCATGACTATCTAGAGTCGGTGCAGGTAAACCAGCTCTATTGCAAATGTTGTGTAGGACACAACATGCTATCACTATTTTTCCGGCTGTATCAGGATGGTAATGTAGAACGCGGTGCACAAGTAAACATCTAAAACGTCCCTTAAGTCTACCAATAGTTCGTTCGACTGTGTTACGTGCTGTTGCGTGTAGTTTATTGTAATATTCTTCAGGTGTACCCTCAACAGCGTTAGGAATAGGAGTCATCAAATAAGACCGCTGAGCATATCCTGAATCTCCTACAACAAACATTAAAACCGGTTAGGTCAAATCTTTATAATATAGGCGGAAATTAGAATCAACTTTAATGAATTGACCTCACCAAGTAAATATACAGTTTCACCAGCACCTATCAATTCTTCTAAATGGTTTTTTTATATCACTATTATTGAAGATAAAACTGTCGTGTGTGGCGCCACCATAAGTAGCGTCTACATGTATTATATTGAGATCCGCATCTGTGTACTGAAAGATAAAAGTCTAGATATAATTATTATACTTACTAGCGACTAGCGACTACCGACGACTTCGTTGGCGTATATATCATTATAAATGACATTCTGATATCTAAGCTATCAATAATAGTATATAATTAATATCTGTTTTTAAGTCTCTTATTATTTCCCATGTTTCCCAGAATTATATAAATTCACTTAATTTAGAACAAATGTTACGATGTTTCTAAATTAGATTAACTTAGGAATAACTTAATATTTTTCATACCAATTGAACATTCCTAGCATGATTGCCTTTACGACAATAATAGCGCTCTTCATTTTCTGTGGGTCTAACTATTGTCACAAAAGTCCCATCCACACACCCGATTACTCCAGGAATCTTGAACTTTTCATAAAATCTGAAATTATACAAAATATTTTTTTTATGTAATAAAAAAATATTACCTACCTAACAAAACAGACAAAGAAATAAAATTATAAAAATTCGTCAAATTAACATATATTATAAATTTCGATATTATAAAAGACAGTCAATATTATTTATAGTTATAGATTATGAATTAAATATTATTTTATCAAAAGTATTTGTATATTACAAACCGTTCTTTTAATGCCAGCCTCTCCTCTGCATTCTGTGGGAATTTTATATATTTGCTTATAATAGTTGGATGATTTAATGTCTCCACTACCTCGCAGATGCAGCGAGATGCAGACGGTTGGGACAAAAAAGTATTTATATTTTGCCCTATTATCCTTTGATAACTGCCACTCGCCAAGAACGACAATGTGCACAATAACTGAAAAGAGATAAGTAAATAAGTCATATTATGTGCTTATCTACTATACTATTTATTATTACTTGATTGTACGGAAAATAAGTGGTAGCATAACATAATACCTAATTAAATGACTATTCAAGTTATTTAAATTAGGTACCTAATAGATAGATAGCTGGATCTTACCTTGATTCTAACGGATAACCCTCGGTGGCGACGTTGTGGTTTCCTAATGAAAAACTTAATATCTTTTTCTAATTGATTTATTAATTCCTCTGAAAGTCTGTACACATTCACATAATCCTTATTTCTATTAAACAATCGCATTGCACGAATTTGTTGAGCTTGACGTCGGCTGTTATATAAATCTAAAGAGTTCGCTTCTTCTAATAAACTCAATAACACAAATAATCTAGCCATTTTAATGTATTAGGCAACCAAAAAACTTATGTTTAAATACAATTTATAATATTTTTATAAAATCTCGATCACTCCGTAGGAACTTTATATTTGACAAATGGAATCGTGTGTCTTGGGTGAAGTGAGTATCGAAGTGAGTGGGAAATTCCCTTACAGAATGTCAATACACTGCACCAAACGTCAAAATATCACTTTTGAATGTTTAATCCCGCCACCGTACTCATCGTTGTGGCGCTGCAGTCGCAATCGAGTTTTACAGAATGCCATGATATAATTTCACTCCGGATTCAGCTATCGAGTTTCGAAGTGATGCTTACCGAATAACACTACAGGTCGATTTCGAACTGACGGAGTTATGAGGAAATAAACATAAAAAAAATACAACCGAATTAAAATAGAAAATATTAAAATAGAACCTTCTTCTTTATGAAGTAAGTAAAAAATCCATTCGCAGCTTTATAGAACTTTCTTATATTGCAACTGAATTAATATGCACATTGACAAATTATAAATTACATGTTAAGGAGGTATCAATAAAATAAATTTGAAGTCAATATTGTTTTATTTTAAAAAAGACCTTTTTACCATTCGACTAACAATTCACCTTCGCTTTTCAATCAATACAACCTTTCACTTCTAAAGTAGACATCACAGATAAAATATAGACACAAAATATTATTTTGCCACTAAACTTCTTACGGATTGCCTATTAAACGCTGTTTAGCTTTGCATGACAATATGACATTAAATAATATAAAACACAGTCTACAGCCTAGGCGAATACAACTTTGCAGTCTATAAGTTCAGACAAAAACAATGTGATATAATCACGAAGACATACATTTTTGCTCTTTTATAATCGTACATATATATATGATAATGGACAATAAATATCATAAAAATAATAAAATAGTGAACCCAGATATGTCACAGGTTAAAAAACATTTCTAATACTTAGATATATCAGAGTTACACACAGTAAACATTAGGATTTTGATGATTGCAAAGATAAAGAACATCATACCCGTATCATGGTGTAAGGAGCAACCAGTAGTACAATACCATTGGCATGTTCTTAACGATAACATGACCATTTGAAACACATTGTGGCCAATTTTAAGTTATCATATTGGTCCTTACAATACAAATTTAGCTGAGACATCAAATTTTAATTTAAAAGATAGATTTAGAGAAATGGCAGCTCAGAATCGATCCGTTTTTGGTCTAGGCGTGTCCGTTAAAATGAATTTTATAGACTATAAATTGTCAAGGTCATGCTATAAATTTTCGAGCAATTTTCTACTATCCAACATCATACATCAGTATATAATTAGATATACCTACTATATTTGAACAATAGTTAAGAAATGAAAATGTTGTTCCATAACATTATTTCCTTGTCCTGAATAAATTTAGGCATTATCTGTTCAATATTACTCCATACAAAACATCAGTAAGTATTTTATGTTTAAAAAATATTCTAAAAATAGAGAACAAAATCCATCAGTAGGCCTAAGCAATAAATCAATCCTGTAATATTTGTTTAATATTCTGTGATAGAAACCAATCACAATGTACAAGCAAGTAATCTGTTTACGTCCATTGTCACTAGCAATACATGCCGCTAATATCAATCGATAACAGTCCATATGGACTTATATCGAATTCATTTGGTGAGTTGTTGATATGTTGTACATTATCAAAATTCTGTGACTATTTACTTACTTTTAAGCACTTATGAAAACTATACTAATATACTTTCTATTAACATTTTATAGAAAAGTACTCTTACGTATTACAATATTGAATTGTCATAATTATAAATACATTTTATATTTATGAAGTAGTAGGTATAAACGTAGATACAACACAATGTTTATTATATTTGTCTAATATTATCCTAATTTAGAAATAATAATTAGGTACGTAATTTAATATTCCAAACCAATATTACCGCTAGCTATGTCTTTTCCCAAATAGTTATCAGAAAAGGACAAAGATAGTAATTATAATGTTCATAATATGAAATAAAAAGCGAGCCCAACAATTTCATTAATTTTAAGTATATTATACACTTAGTAGGCATCTAATAATAAATTCGCGATGCACGAACTGTTTGTTTAATTTAATATGGTGTAAATTCTTATATAAAAGAATTTACATTTCCAGAAGTGTTACATAACAGACGAGATAAACTTCTAGAACATTATAAGGTTAAGCCTATATATGTGTGTGTGTATATATATATATATATATATATATATATATATATATATATATATATATATATATATATATATATATATATATAATATATATGTAGGTATAAAGTGACCTCCTGTGGCATAGTTGTATTTCTTTATTTTAGTCGTATTATTCTTTTCATAATTTTAAATAAATATACATAGATTATTGTAATCTTGTCACCACCACCGATAGGGCAACATGTAATATCAAGAGAATCGTCTGTAAAAGAAAATCCATATTTCACCTATTAACATTTCAACCATATTTCATTATAAACTATTTTTACTGCAATATAAAAATACACCTAAATAATTTTAGTTGTAAATAAAAAGGACGAGAGCGAGAATTATGTCTCATGACGTTGTCTTCAAAATACTATTATTAACTTTTGAATATTATTTACCAAAAAATATATTTGTTATATCAGAACTGAAAACGCTATTTTATGTCTTGAGTTACAATTATAATATATTTATTATATATAGCTACCTATTATCTAGAAAATTAATAATTAACCGGTTACTAAATTACTTTTGAACGGTTTCTAAACCTTATTATATTTATATCGGTAAATCGTAAAATGCATACACATTATATGCGTATAAGTAGCTTATTTATTACAAAACGGAAATTAATCCTTTCGATTAAAAAAGAATAAATCATTTCAGAATTTATAAAGGCAATAGCGTATATAAAAAAAATACAGTGGTATTGAGAATCTTCTTTTTTAATTTGGTTTAAAATTGGAATTCGAAAATCAGATGTATTAAAGGTAAAATGCATATTGGTAAATGCACGCATGACGTCATCAACCAGTGCTACAGAATTGGTTTATAATATGGTAATTCGTAGCTTGTCCATTCCACTGAACAAGTAATCAGTTAATTTTATTCGTCCGCTTGAAGATATAATAATTAAAAAAAAAAAAACAGCCCTGGAGGTATCACGCAACGCCATCTAGTCTCAAACTAAACAAAACCTGTTGACAACTGATAGATATATCTAAATACATTTCTCTTTAATACTAGTACATATAAAAAGTTAGTTTAATGAAGCTGATATCAATATATAGTTGACAATTGCTTAGCACATTTCTTAAGATGGGCTATTACTTTATTCGCCGTTTTAAGTTTTATGAAACACTACTGTAAATAATATTATTAACGATTTGAACCTAGTGATAGGTAATCACTAGGTTCATAATCATCCATAAATGTCTCACTTGATCGTTTGATTTGGCCAAATATCACCGATCATATTTAAATCCTAAAAGACGCCACGCCCACGTTTCTAAGCCATCTCTATTATGTTGGTTTGTTAACCTTAATTATTTTGTTCTAATCGGTTTTGCGGAAAATTTGGCAAAACTACAATTAGTTATGAATATAAACTGGTTAGTAAGGGTCACAGTATATATAAGTAAACCCAGTGCAAGTTTACAAAATAACCAAGAACTACAATCACGAGCGTTCACACTTTAACATTTGATATCGTAGATTTCTATGGTCGATATTGAGTATAATTGAAAACTTACACTAAGCGCTTTGAATCCCTAGTCCTCCCATTCAATTTTACCACCAAATACATAATAAAATTAAATTGTACACAAAAAGCGGCCATTATTTAAATACAGTCTCTTATGGGTTCCTACAATGGTGTTCTTGTACGCAAGTCGATACTCATTATATAACAACTTCCAATTACGTATTATAGTCTCTGATTACAGTCGTAATATTGACAAGGTTTCAAACAAAAAAGACAAAAATATTTATAAATTATAAACCTTGTATTTAAATACGCCATGCTACATGTATAAATGTAGTATAGATTTATAAACATAACTATGACATCACAATTTAATAAAAAAAAAACTATTCGCATTAACCAACAATAGCTAAACAACATTTCATAGCACAAACCTAACTACCGTTATGACTTATGAAATTATGAATGTATATATGAATTTACATGTACAATATTTACAAGACGATTATAATTATTATGTATGTACATTTTATAATTTAACCTATGGGTTAACCGATGAGCTGATATCGAGTTAGGTAAGTAATTATGTTAAATTGTCATTTTTTAAATTTCACACCTGTATGATGTCCAATCGATGAATAATCAAAATGTACTCACTTGGCCTATGAATAATAATGTATATAAAGGGCATTATTTTAAACCTTAGATTATATAGATAGAGCATCGATCCTCAAAAATGAGTCAACTTTTGTCAGCTAATTGTCAAATTAGCTAACTTGTTTTTCTATCAGTATTCTATTTACGCATAAAATGTATTTTGACGTATTTAAAAAATAAATTGAGTATTTAAGCATTAAAAAGATGCAGAATTTATAAGACAAAATAAATATAGAAGTTATAAAGGAATCACTCATAACTGTTTATCACGCAAAATTGTAGGAAAAAGTTTACCCGTTTTTCCCGAAGCATTTGTATGGAGACACTCTATTTATATTATAATCTAAGTTTAAAACATTTGTGGAATATTTTCTAGTGACAGAAACATGAAAACCACATTCTAATGAATAGAAAGTGTGATTGAAAAAATTTCGAAAGGAGCGGAGTTTAAACCCACATTCTCTGATCCATTTCTTAGTAAATTCTATTTAATTTACCTTTTGTCTAAACAGAGTCAGAGTATAATAAAAACAAAGATATTTTTTTTTTATTAAAAATATAGTTCATGTTATCCTTGTTTATTTATTAAAATATTTTTCTCAGGTACCGTTTATCTATGATTGAACATCATTAATTTCGAATGTTAAAGTTAATACTGATAGTGTAATTGAGTTTATTGAGCAAAATACTGGTACATTATATTATAACACAACACTAAATGGCACAACATCTCAACTGTCTTCATATAAATAAGTCGATAGGTGAGAATAATTTAGTAATTGTACTTGTAATTATATGAAAATTAAATTAAATTACTTATTTAAATGAAAGGGCTGATATTTTTCCCAATTTTCAAATATTTATATTCTTATTAAATTGTATGACAATGACATAAGTATAAATAATTTAAAAAATAAGAATTATTAAAATTAAATATAAATACGTACTAGTACACACTGAGACTTGATATTTAAATAACTAGGTATCGTTTTAAATAAATATTATCTGCACTAAAATAAAATAATCAAAACGCTGGTGCAATGAAATTTGAGCCTTATTGTGTAGATCGCTGTTATGTACCCTACAAAGTTATTCATAATTTAAGATAAAAACATCAGCCCTAAATGGTCCTCTTTATTATGGTGTCAATATTATGCAGATTTGGGGCATTTTGTATAATATCATTTATTAAATTTAAAATCAAATATACATTATAACTATTAAATGAATTTAGTTACAATTTACTTTCATAAAATCAATGATTATTATACTGAGAAAACTAAAAATGCTAATAATATGAATTTACCGATATAATGATATATTTAACATTTACATAATAAACCTTTAATTACAAATAAATAAAGATCGAATATAAAAATATTTACATTTACATCTTTCGACATATTCAAACCAAAAAAAATTTATATACACTCAAAAATTTCTTCATTCAAGCAAATACAAATACACAATGAGTACTTCATATCGAGGTTAGATTTAAAACTAATAGAAATGTAAATTACTAGTAATGTAGCATCCCGCTGTTTTGCATATCCTGTCAGTGAAAATCTTTTAGATATATGACCTATTTATACATAGTCTATTAAAACAATAGACTGCACGAAACCAAATTTCAACCGCTACTTTCACCTATTCTTTCTTACTTTTCACACCCTTTTATTCATATTTATTTTATTTTGTAACATTTTAATTTTAGAGTCTAATGACAAGAAATCCACCAAAATATATAAAATACAACAAGGTACTAGACCATATCTACTGCTACTTCACCTGTAAATTTTTTTCATATAATAACCATCCTAGGAGATTTATATATGTTTACGTATCGCAAATAGGCTTAAGTGGAAAACTGTATATATTAATATCATATCCAGTTTTAGACGTAGACAGATTTATTATTAAAAACTCATAATAAATATCTAACTATGCAAGGTCTGATGCAAATGTGCACCACGTCAGAAAAAAAGTAATAATATCTAATCAATAAATAAAAATTATGAATGGGTATTTTAAAATTGGACCCTAATCTGTTTTTGTACAGTATCCCAAACTTTTCAGCAAAGAACATTGTATTATTGAGCAAATTAATCGAGAATTTTATTGATACTTTCTGAAAAATAACAACGACAAATTTATGAATAAAAATAAGTGAATGCACAAAAGCACATAAATAAATAAATTTATTACGTAAATAAATAGAAAAACCTGGTATAAATTGAGATATGTACACTGACAGAATGCACGGGACTTCTGTTAATTTATATCCACAATAAATTTAAGTCTTTAATGCCAAAAATTGTTTGACCTTTGACTAAACAATATATCTACTTATCAGAAATAATACGGAATTTAACTATTTACTTTGGGCACACTCTGGCGAGCACCTTCTTCTCCTCAGTGACTTTCTTAAGCAACTCCTCCGTCCATCTGTGAGCCATCCGATCCACTGTCGACGGGACGGTCAGGCAATTCATGCCCCCATACTCGCATGCGGCCTGAAAGTATGTTTTAACATATTACAAAAATTCATTACTTAGACACTAAAGCTAGTAGTCAACTTATCGTTCTACTAATACTATAATTGACCGTGACTATACTTATATATAATAATGATTTCAAAAACAAAAAAATTAAAGGATAGAATACGCATAAGGATGAGAACTGTAGAAGGACCCTTTTAAATTATGTTAATATGCAAATTTTAAAGTTCTCATTTGTAGGCGTTCCCTTTTCGCATTAAATTTTTGCTCCAGAAAAAAACAGTACAGTAAAATATTGAGTTCTGCTATCTAGGTATTTATCAGCGTCCTTCACTTTTAAATGTTGCTATATTGGGTATTATTATATTTACAATATATATATTTTTTGCGCGAGATGCTGTGACCCAAAACGCCATACATCCTCTGCACAAGACTTTCGGTTGTAACGTTAAAGCAATTATCGAAAACGACAAATACAGTAAGTTCATAAAATTTTCGTTGTGCATATATATACAAATTGAGTATTTTTCATAATTCTTAACAAAAAAAATATTTGTTTGGAAAGCATTTTTAAGAAATGAATTTTTTAAAGAAAAATATAACACCGAGTAATTTATATATATATATATATATATATATATATATATATATATATATATATATATATATATATATATATATATATATATATATATAAATTACTCTGTATATATATAATGTATATTGATATTGAGGGTACTAAGATGACATTTAGAAGGCGCAATTGGGTAGCGCTATTTTTTTCTGTAACTCGTGTACCATCTAGTAGTTACTCGGTAAAACGTTGTCAAAAATGGCACTAATACTACTTTGTGTCAGCCTATGTTTCAGTTTGAGGAATAACATTCGAAAACAATCTGTCAGCGCGGTGTCGGTGTTACGCACCCGGTAGTGGTGCAGGAGCGCGCGGTCGGTGGGCACGCCGGCGGAGCTGGCGCCGGGCGCGTGCTCCCACACGAAGTGGTTCCCCAGCTCGACGGTGTCGCGCGGCCGCAGCGCGTACTTGCTGCGGTTCTTGAGCGCGTGCGGCGTCGCCCACCGGCGGGTCTTGCGAGCCGTCACTAGCGGCGCCACCGCTTCCGCGTCGTCCTACACGTTGGTTATTTATTTCTTACATCATATAGATAGAGCATCGAGTTTGAATAACGGGTCAACTTTTTGTCAGCTATTTATCAAATTAGTTGACTCGTTTTTATCATTGTTCTATATACTTACACGCATAGTGTATCTTGACGTATCTATATTTAATTATTTAATAAATAAAATAAATTTTACGCATTAAAAAGATGAAAAAATTATGAAACGAAATAAATATAGAAGTTATAAAGGAATTACTCATAACTATTTATCATACAAAATTGTATGAAAAAGTTGACCCGCTTTTCTCAAAGTATTTTTATGGAAACACTCTAAGATTTATAGAACTTTTATGTAAATAACAATGGTACCACATGGTGCACATAACACCTAAAGACGTTCTCTACCAGGCAACCATGGAGCGAACCGAGATGTACCAAACATAATTTAAAATAAAAGCGAAACTATATAAAAACACATGCAGTAATATAAAACTAATGCGTGTATAAATAAATAAATAGACAAATTATTTTTGATTCTGATCGTTATATAATTATCTTAGTAATATAATAAAATTATAACGAAACAATGACTCTATATAGAAGATATATAAAGAAGCTTTATATGAAGGCTCTTATGGTTATGGGCCATCTGTTTACCAAATTTTATTCAAATATGTTCAGATGTTTGGTCGAGCAACAAACATCTTTATAAACATATTCATAATATTACTATGCCAGTATGTAAAAGTGAATTCAAATTAGAAATTCACAAAAAATAACTCAGTATTACCTCCCACCGAAGATAAAAGAAAGCATTTCTAAATAGAAACGCGGCAGGCGATTTCGATGGGGGGTTGTATGAGGCCCGCAGTGCTGTGAGTAGCGCGGGCAGCGTCCTCTCGCGGCGCGGAACGACCAACTCATCCACATCGATCACCAACAACCAGCCGGCCGTCGACATCGATCGGTAGAGGCAATCGTTAAATGCCGCGAATTGACCCTCAGTTCTGAAATATAGAAAGAAAAGTAATATAATAACAATTGATATGCAAAAACAGCACTTGAGGATTTATTTCGTTACAACACAAATACATATTCTGTTAATATTATAAATGCGAAAGTTTGTAACGGTAGTATTACTGAATGGATTTGAATGAAATTTGGTACACAGATAGATCCTAACATAATACCACATAGGATATTTTATATACTGATTGATACGGGTAAGGCTGCGAGATAGAGGTAATGGATAAACAATAAAAAAATACATAAACGACTGTTAAATGTATAACATGACTCGTTTTTCAGTGATACATGTCGACATATTTTACAGTCGATGCTACCAGCAGTAGACATCTTAGTACTGAGGATTGGAAGAATAACATGAATGAAATTACATAATGTATTCCACCTCCTTTGATGTCAATGATATTGTTCTTGACTACCACTTTTCAATGAGGTTGTCAGCTTTTCAATCCGTTTTCGCTTTTCTCTATTAAAAAAAAAGTAATCTAATTTCAAATTCAATTGTTTCCGTGCGGTGATGAAATAATAATTAATACTTTATGTCATCTATCCTTTTTATCCCCTGGAATTTGTAAAAGGTGACTAAGAGAATAAAGTGCAAAAATATATTGGTTATGTAATATGTATTTTAAAAACTATAGGATCTATTTCCATGTTAGTAAAATCTTAATCGTCATTAGACAAATTTGCTACAATAATTATCTATCTTTTTGCAATTGTGTGTTGTTTTGTATGTTGTCTTTTATCACCTGTAACAGGCGTAGAAAAACTTACCTTATCTCAACTTTAGATATAATAGGCAGTTTCCATGGCAACAGCGTGACTAGACCTTGCTTTTTATAGTGGTCAATAAGACAGCCTACAGGCGCGCTCAATGACTCGTTGTACATGTAGAAATGGCTCGCCCCTAGCAGCTTATTCAGTTCAAACCATTCGAGTAACCAGTCTTCACGGGAATATGAGTAATGGAATGGCTTCACACATATATGGAGATTTTCCTGGAAAGATGTATTCAATTTATACATATATGTTTATAATAATACTGTAAACGGACGATGTCACATATCACGCAAAATTATTTGTATTTGATGAAATTTGGTGTGGTAATAACTTAGTATCTGATTCAACATGGAATATTTTTTATTGCATATAAATATATCATTTCCGTCAAAAATATAAAATTTTGCCGCACGAATACAACATACGCACATTTAGTGTTTAATATTCATACTAGGCTAAGTCTGAAGCATTAACGTACATCTAGAACTAAAATAAATTAAATGTTCATTACATCGTACAATGAGTTTTCAAAGGAATTTACTTCCGCGAACACTTAAGCTGTAAAATGAGCTCCCTGCCGAAATTTTCCCTAGAAATTACATTATGGGGGTTTTCAAAAAGGGTATATTAAGTTTTCTTTAGAGTCGATAACGCACACGTGACGCCCCTAGTGTTGCGAGATTACAGTAACCGTTTACCATCAGATGGGCTGTATACTTATTTACCACCTTCGTGGTATAAAAAAATAACCGTTACATCTTTAAAATAATTAAAAACAAATACCGAGATTTCTTATTTAGAAAATTCGTGGTGCTATATCGTTAATAATACCCTTAATTACTACTGTACAAAGCGAAACACTGCCTCTATATCATACTTATATAGTTTACAAAATTATATATGCACATTTCTCTTATGAATATTAAACACACGAATTTCTATGAAAATCTGGTGGCTTATACTGCGAAATAGTTTGAGATAGTTCATATGGCTTTAGTTCATTGGCTTAAATTTCAGAAGGAGTTAAATACGAGTATAAAATTAGATCGACGACAAATATACGAAGATAATTGAAATATGGAAGGGCGGGGATATGTGGAGGCCAGCAAGCATTTTTTAACTGAATTCTGATAAATTATACAGGCTTGTTCGATAGACAAGTAATTTATACATTTTGTAACACTTATTATTATTTTTTATTATAACTATAATAATGAGCACTCCGATTACGCGTGAATACAGTTATCTATTTATATAGAAATTTAATTAGGATATATACTTTAATTAGGACATACTATACTAACTTTCCATAAGAACATTTAAATATAATTCCGTTGCATAATTTAAAAAAAATAAGCGTAGAAACAGAAAAAAAAAACTAAAATCTACTTTGTTCTATACTATTTAAGATAGAAGTTTTGCTCTTAATCTTACCTCAATACCACTCTTAGGTTCTGTATCGAGAACCGTCAGAAGATTTGTGGGTGCTCTACCAGGCCAGTTACTGGATATTACAGATATGGACGCACCCACTGTTTCCTGAGGTTTTACCCCCGAATCACGTAGCAAGCATAGTACGTACGTCGCACTGTACTTCATATTCCAGTTCTCTCGTATAGCCTGAAAAATAAAAATATGTCAAAATCAATACAACAATATTGGTATCATCTCTATTATATTAATGTTTGTATTAATCCAGGCATTTTAAGCCATATGATATATATAAAAAAATTAATTTCCATGTGTATCAGTTACTTAATACAAATTATTTTTAACTTGGATGAGGCTCTGTATTATGTGATATAATTAACTTAAGATATCTGAAAATTATTTATAAATATCTAAATCATGCATAGATTTAATATTCATGACTTTTTTTGTTATTGTTATTATGTTTCTGTTATAGTTAATATTTACTAATGCAGTAAACGCAGCTAGCCATTTATAGCTATCGGTACTCTCTACAGATTTCTCTACATTGCTGTATCGAATCGACTATTTCGATACGCTTAGAAACAGAATTAAAACAAAACAATTTAGACGCTATTCACTTCGACAATTTTCCTTTAAAATAGTGCCATTTTTTTTATCAACTTGTGTTTTCGTTTAAAATTTTATGGAAACAAAAGTATTGACACCTACGATTATTAAAAATTGTGTCCCACAAAAAAACCGACTCCAATTATGACAATACCTGTTATTTTGATTTAAAAACTAAACTAATTTTGATTAAATTTATATGGTGATCCTATAGAAATTTTATCTGTAAGTATATCCTTTTAGATAAAAAAAGAATTTTCCCAATCGGTTTCAAAATTACGAAGTTATGAGGCAAACATAAAAAAAAACAACAACAAAATTGAGAACCTCCTTCTTTTTGAAGTCGGTTGAAAATAAAACCAACAAGCCAGTCCAGTCGAAATATTCAAATATAAAGATGACTAAATGTCATAAAGAAAGATCTAATTAATACTCTGATTTAAATAGACACCCACTTAAAACAAGTAACGAAAATTATTTAAGGACTCTGGTATAGAAGTATAAATATCTATTCCTATAATTTAGACTCTAATTTTAATTCAATATACGGAGAGTAAACGTTTTATTTCATTATTGTGATAGAAATTGTTGGTATTTAATTGACTGTTATTGTTCGCAACTACATAATTCAAATTAATATATCTATTACAGAAATATTACACATACTATATATATAATACGGAATATAATTATGGCTACGATGTATTTAGTTCGCTTTTGTGAAACATGATTATATCGTTTGTAACATAGCTTTTGTATGTCAACTGTGAAAGAACATGAATACAAGCAGGGTCCGTCTACGGCTCCCTACATAACTGTCATGACCTTGATCTTGAAAATACGAGACAGTTTAATGTTTATATGGTTACATGGTCGAAAATGAAAACTTTTATAATTACATCATGACATTATATTACATATTTATACTTTACGAAGGATATAATCACAGAGAAATATCTTCATCACATCCGCCGTTAACTGTCCACTGCTGAACATAGGCCTCCCTCTTGTGGGGGGTTTGCCAGTATATGCCACGTTTGACAAGCAGGTTGGCAATCACAGTTAGACTTTTGGTGATGTTTTAAGAAAGACGTTGCTACCCATGCCTCGACCATTAATTTCCCTCAGTAGCCTTTTTCGATTCCCACGAAAAAGGAAAGAGTGACCCATATTATATAGAAATCTCATGGCAAAGTATATTATAATATACCAAAAAAAGTATGTGAATCATTTATATGACAAATATGTGAATCATTTATAATAATCAACTGTAAGTACTTCCGACTTCATCCACGTAATTAGGAAAAAGTAACCTGTCTTTCTCACAAGTACTATGTATATACTAAGAAATTCCATAAATTTCATTAGATATTTTTTGAGTAGTATAACAAAAAGTTTAATTACCAAACCAAACTCACTTTCATATTTATAATAATAGTAAGAATTTAATAAAGACAATACAAACCTTGACTCGAGCTTTGAGCGTGAGAGTACGGTTGTCTGGTAGCCACATTCTGCATATAACTGCATCTGCGCCGCGGGTTTTTGTCGCTGCGATTATCCGCACAGCTGCAACAGTTCGTCGCTCTACGAACGCAGAATACACATAAAATCTAAACCTGTAACAAGACACAAAAATATATTTTTTTTATTTCAATTATATTAATAATTTCTTTTGATATATTATATATATAATTACAGACAAATCTCAAAATATAAGAACAATAAATCACGAATTTTATCAGCATACGTAAAGTTCTGTGAGTATTGAAAATAATCTTTAGATAGGTTAATTTTTATATATTATTTACATGGTAACCAGAGAGAATCAAATGCGAGTATTCTCGTATACAATTAAAACCAAATTATTTTAAAAATCAACCCATAAAAAAAAATTGTTAATTTTTGGCATATTTTCAATTGATTTTGTTTACTAAGACGAAAAATTCAAGAATGAAAACCTCCCCAAGCTCTTTAACGAGTATTCAAATCATAAACGAAGCACTTGTTGATACAAACACAAGAGTATACACTGGCTGCTAGCATTAAATGATAACAAACACCCCTCCTCGTTTCAACGCAAAATAACAATATTTTTTATTGCGAAGTAACCGCTAAGCTGTCCCGTAATGTCGCAAAATAAACTAATAACACATCTGCTGGAACAAACAAACAGATGGTATGTAATGTACAAAGTACTATAGCCGTGTAATATAGCTATCTATAATTAAGTAGGTAGGAGCGGAAAGGACGGCTTTTGTTTGTAATTAACAATGAATGAGGTTGACATTGCATGATAGGCACTGAATATTCAAAATCGAATGTTTAGTAGATAAGTTTGTTTCACGATCAGTCTCACAATTCGTGAGAACCATACGTCGGATTGGCATACTGGAATTCTTGATATCTATTTCTGGATAGTAGGCATTTGAAACTATACATGAATCAATCATTTATTTAGATATAGATATAGTTACATGTATGATGTTGTATGGATTAAACATAGTGCTTTATACTTCCTTAGAAATATATAGAGCTAAGTTCTGTTGTTCACGTCATTAGGCATGCATATAATATTATGTAATATTTATTAATTACATGCATTGAATTAAATATAGGCCGTGTGGTCTCGGCTTAGAATAGGCCACCTCTTCCTCTCCCGTGGGTGTTGTAAAAGACGACTAACGGAGAGCGAAGGATGGGCAGCAGCGTCCCTCTTAAAACATATCCAAAGCCTAACTGCGGCTGCCATAACGCCTGCCAAGCGTGGCAGCTACTGGCAAAAACCCCCAAGGGAGAAACTAATGTTCACCAGTAGATAGCTAAAGGCTGATATCATTATTATCACATTTATGATGATGATATACATTGACGTCTAGTCCCGGCATAGAATGGGCCACTCCTTTCTTTCCTGTAGCAGTCGAAAATGGACTGAAGGAATTTAATGTAAATAATAAGTGGATGTGCATCCATCAACCATTAAGCAGCGTAACTCTTAAAATATCACCAAAATTTAACTACGATTGCTAATCTGCCTGTCAAGCTTGGTGACTACTGGCAAAACCTTCCTTACAGAGTTGACCAATGTTCAGCACTAGACAGCTAATATGATGATGGTGATATGCATTACAATTTCAATATATCGATATTGAAATTAATTTATTTTAATAGTTTTAAACAAATTTATTCCTACTTTCCAATACAGATCTTAATAAAGTTATTTAGAAACTTAAAACATTGCACATAAGCCTGACAAAACAATGTCTTGTCACTAAATAGCTGTACGAAATCTTAAATGCCGTCTCATTTTAAATTTAATATTGAAGGTCGTACCTAGTTGGAAACCAACGTGAATTTACAACATAAAGGCATGTAATATTCTGAAGGCAATAACCGAGTACATCCCGACCCGCATAGCTGAAAGCAAATGCAAATATTTGCCAACGACCTGGAGTGTCGTTGAATTTATAATAGCTTAAGGATTGTTGTAGAAAATTACTACAATAATCTAATGAAGCATTATTTTTATTAGGGATATCTGATACACTTATATTAGGGATATATCAGTCAAAACGTTTATCTTTATATTGTATAAGATATATTATTCTTTTATTATTTATTTGTTAAAGATTTTACTTCTTCTAATTATTATATGTAAATATAATATGTAAATGATTTAAAAAAAGAAATAACATGAAAGTACATACTACGAGTATTAACCGAAACAATAAAAGATTAATTAAAATTTTAAACTTTGTTCATTGAACGTTAAAAGTTAGTGAAATATGACTTAAAACCTACATAAGCGTTGGACATCTTGTTTACCGAGAGCAAAATTTTCCTGCGTATCAGCTGGATACGTGCAAAAACCAAGGACACGTGTGAATTGTAACGCGTAAATTTATCAAGTTATTTTATTATACTATTAAAAACATAATATGTAGATACTGAGTTTAATATACTATGATTATTTAAATTTGTATTCCTGACACTTTAGCGTTTTTGTGTAGAAATATAAATGTTGGTACCTAATTTGATATACTAGATAATATTATAAACATACTATTATCTAAAATGGATATGCTTTTATCAAATAAAATATTATACAAGGGAATAAGTATGTACTTAATAATACTCACTTAGCTTTCAGTTCTAGTAGAATTGATAAATCTCCCGTGTTAGTAGAATGTCATAATTTCTAACCACAGGGGCCTAACTCATTTTAATTCACAATTGTCCTAACAAAATGGGATTCTACGTATATTAATAAAAGCTAAATTAATTAGACCCGATGTCCCATCTGAAGAGCCTGTCGAGACAAAATTTGTTCTAATTTATAAAAGAACAATAGATTGTGTTTCTAAATGCATAAAATTTTATTTTTTCATAATAACTTTTATTATGTCGACTAAAAGACTAAAAAATTTATTTAGCACAAATTATTAAAATTATGATGATGATCATGACTTAAGTAATACGTATTTTGTCAACGTAAACTATAATTATTAATCATCAGCTAACTGATATAAAAGACGTCCCCTTCGAATATTAGTTCCTATTTACACGATTGGCAATTTCCTTCAAAGTAATTGAGAACCTTTTAGGGACCTAACAAACCCATCAGAATACACACACGAAACTGATTAGCATTCAGCAATAAGTAGATATTTTCAGTTCGAATATACATTCGGATATGAAAGCGCGGGTGGCACTTTGCTAGGAGTAAAGCAGGAAATGGAAAAACACTTCGTTTGCAACGAGTTAAAGGTACGTTTATATCTAGGAAATTGCTCAATATGTTACACGTATTATGTCGAGGAATAAATCATCAAGTCGTATCTTATAGACGAATTATAACGTGTTTTATACATGTGTCATGTGCAGATACATTATCTGGAATATCATATGTTCGTAGAGAAAAATGTTGTTTGAAAATCTGAAGCGTTGATAATATTATATGCATATTTACTTACAAAGATTCAGATATGTAGATCCCAAAATAACATCTATGTATGACAATAGAAGAAAAAATAGTATCGGGCGGACTATAATTCTGTAAATATATTTTTTAGGATTTCGATCTCTATTTTATTTATAACATTAACAAGTATTTAAAATAACAAAGTTTTTTTACCGTGATAAATGATAATTTGTAAATCAGATTCACTTCCTAGTTTATTTGCTATACCAAAACCTTTGTTAATACCTAATTAATAAATACCAAAATTTTTATTTGTCATACATACTGCATTTATAAATAACAATCCTTCTATATAGCATTACAAAAAATAAACTATTATTAATACGTTACTTTTAATAACTACAGTTATTAGTTTTACACGAGATATGAATCTCAAAAATGCGAAAATACCTTATCTATACTAACATTGAAAATAACGTATATAAAACATCGTAACCACTGGTGTCATTGACCTCGTAGCACGACTAAAATAGTATATTATGTAACCTACCATCCTTTAGCACCAATTAGCCGGTTCGTCACGAAGTTATAGATGGCATCTCATAATGAGTTTCAGTTGAGAACTTGGTAAGAACAAGTTCTGAATACAAAAATAAGCGTGCCTCATTATAACAAACCAATTATTAATCAAGGCGACGTGTAACTACTTAATTTATACACGTAATAGCTTCCATTTCCGTACTGTTTAGAGAATATATTTACGAGTACGTTCATACTCTTTAATAGTAGATTCGTGTACTCTAGCGATATTCTGAATAGTTAACATAGGAGATTAAAAAAAAGAAAACGAACCTACTTACCTACTTGAAATAAAATTAGTAAAGAATTATTTCTAAAACTTGTATATTTTGTTGTGTATTCTTAAGATTCTATGTGGGATTGTTGATATTTTAAATTCAGACTCATTGCAATTTTTATTGTCTTTATATGTAGTTAATAAAAATCTTTTGAGATGTTAAAATATTTTTCCGTTAAAAAAATCAATGACGATAAAATTGATTATTAATAATACAGAATAAAAGAAACTCTTTTCAAATTGATAAAGTTTTAACACTTATGTATTGTAATTATATAGAATTACAAACTAGTAATTCACATTTGCAAGTGAAAATTCAACTAATTATCAAATGTGATCTAATTGAGCGTAGTTCCGGTGAACCGTTCACCGTGAACGGAAACCACAAATTCTCCATATCATATAATAATTGTGATACGAATCTATTGTAGGTTACAATAGATCCAAATCACATTTATTAGAATAGAACATTAACAAACACTATCAATACGATCTGTAGGCAAATAGACAATATAACTTAATCGTCTCGGATCAAGTAATTAGTCCTACAGTATACCAGAGGGAGACTTTGTACAAAAGTCGATTGCTTGGGTACCTCTGTCCCATTCGTGTTTCAACCGTGAAGCAGTTGTGTTTGCATGACTGTGTTTCGGTTTGAAGGGTGGGATATGGCGTGAATTTACAGGGTACAGAGGAATAACACCTGAGTCCTCAGGAATGGCAACGCATGGGGGGTATCATGGGTGAAACAGTATAGTCTGCTATGTCCATGGTACTGCTCATGTCTATAGGCGACGGTTACCACTTTCCATCAGGTGGGCCGTCAGCTTGTTTGTCATTCT